ATGTGCCACCATGCCCGGCTAATTTTTTCTATATTTTTAGTTGTCCAGCTAATTTCTTTCTATTTTTTTAGTAGAGACAGGGTTTCTCTCTTGCTCAGTCTGGTCTCGAACTCCTGAGCTCAAACGATCCACCTGCCTCGGCCTCCCAGAGTGCTAGGATTACAGGCGTTGAGCCACCACACCTGGCCTGATTGTTACTTTAAATGGGTTAAGGGCCAGGCGAGGTGGCTGACGCCTGTAATCCTAGCACTTTGGGAGGACGAGCAGGAAGATCACTTGAGGTCAGGAGTTGGAGATCAGCCCGAGCAATACAGTGAAACCTGTCTCTACAAAAAAAGAGAAAAAAATTAAATGTGTTCAATTGAATAGCAAGTTAAAGGTGGCAGCTGTAAGGAGAACCTGGCATGCAGTGGTAGTTCTACAACCACGTGCCTTGACTTCATGAGCCCATTTTTTATGCCTGCAGCACAGTGACTGAGGTTTATTTGGAGAACATTTGGAGGACATCAGTACTCCAAAGTCCTGCTTTCTGAGACCGAGGATTCCCGTTGTATTTATTAGTTATAAGAGCCATAGGAGTATGTAAGTAGGTCTGGGTCCTTTTGCATAACTCCTGCTCCAAAACAGTTTTGTAACTTTCATGCCTTTTGCCACCAACCCGTAAGCCGTAACTTAGAACTCATTTGCCTTTCTCTGTTGCATGCCCATACTCTTTGAACACTCATCCCCAGAACTCTCATCTTCCTTAACTATGGGAGGCTCATAAGCTTGCAATTAGGGTTGACCATGTAATGCAATTCTGATCAGGAAGATATAAACTGAAATCTGCCTGGAATTTGTACAGGCAGTTTTGCTTTCCTGGTAAAAGTGCTAACCTTTTCCTGTTCCCCTCTTACCTGGAAAGTGGATGTGAGGCTGGTAGAAGAGATTCAATCTGGCCTTTAGAAATTGAGCTGAGAAATCTACCCAGCCAAAAGAGATGTCATCCTAATCAGGCCTTTAGTCCCAGCTGCTCCAGAGGCTGAGACTGGAGGATTGCTTGAGCCCAGGAGTTCCAGGCTAGCCTGGGCAATATAGTGAGACCCTGTCTCTTAAAAAAGAGATGCCATCATCAACAAAAGATAGCAGAAACAAATTGATTATAGAATATGCTCTACAAATATGACTTATAGGGATTATCAGATAAAGAATTTTAAATGATTTTAATATATGTAAAGAAATAAAAGCATAAAAATGGTAAAATAATAGGGTTGTATAAAAATTGGGCAGATTTGAGAATTGTCCAAAATAGAATAGTGGTTAAAAAAATGAAATGAAAAACTGAATAGATGGGTTAAATACAGATTAGACAAGAGAGTCAGTGAACTGTGAGACTTAAGTCTGTGACTGTGCTCATTTAGCTATTGTCTATGAGCTCCAAATTCGCCATCTATACTCTGTGATGTGGCTGTGACTCTACATTTCTTTGACAGTTGGCTTACTTGAGTCAGGTCGTAAATGAAGTAAGCCCCAGCTTGTTTCACAGGCAGTTCAGGAAGTCCTTGGACCTTCCCAGTGCTTATTTTCCCTGTGCCTGAGCGTGTATTTGAAGTAAACATACTTGACTACTGTCAGAATCCCCACTTTGGTTCCTTGACCATTGCAAGGACCAAGTAGAAGTTAGGTTAGTAAAGCACAACAATGCTACCTCTCTAGGGAAACTACTGAAGTCACCATCAGAAATCCTAAAGGATTAGCCAGTGTGGTGATACATACCCTGTAGTACCAGCTACTCAGGATGCTGAGATGGGAGGATCGCTTAAGACACAGCAAATGTCTAAAGATTGGTATAAAGAATGTATTGAACACAGCACAATGGAAAAAGAAATCAGTAAGGTTTATTTTTTATTTTTTTTAGAGATAGGGTCACCCGGGTTGGTCTCAAACTCCTGGCCTCAAGCAATCCTCTCACCTCAGCCTCCCAGAGTGCTGGGATCACAGGCATGAACCACTGTGCCCAGCTGATATTGTTACAGCAAAGCTGACTGAGAACAAACCGAATGGCACAAAAAGCGTGGAGAGAACCAGGTTTATTTACGCTGGCAGGCTCAGAGGGGGCTTGTCACCAAATTTTGAGCCCAGAACAGAAAGTGTAGCAGTCTTCTATACATTTCGTTTCAGGGAAGGTGTAGGGCACAGTTACAGTGTGGTTATCTTTAGTGGGGCAGGATCTCGAGCCACCCCAGTTCCTGGCATAGAGTTTCTGTAGAATTTCTTTCTGTCTTATCTTACCATGGCAGAAGTTGCTGCAAGCAGTTTACAGAAGCAAGAGCGGCAGCAATTTAGCAGTTTCGTAGGGGGTTGTTCATGGGGAGGGGTTTTGCTTAGTGGAATTTTCCTTTTCCCTATCAATATCAGTAAGGTTTAAAAATACAAAAATGTGACAATGCAAAGCTATTTTGAAATGAATGATAATGAATACATGACATACAAAAACTTGTGGGATGTGGCTAACACGTGAAAGACTTATAGCTTTAAGTACACATATTAGATAAGAAAGATTGAGGGTCAGTGATGGTCTAAGCTTTCAACTCACAAAGCTAGAAAAAAAGTGAAAGAAACCAGACCAAAATTAAAAAAAAAAAAAAATACATACTGTATGAATGTGTTTGTGTAAGTTTCAAGAACGGGCAAAGGCCATTTACAGCAATAAAGGTCAGATGGGTTCCTGTGGATGGAGTGACTTAGGAGGATCTAGAGGATGTTGGCAGTTTCTGTTTTACTCTTCTGTTTCCAAATCTGGACAATAGTTACATAGTGTGCTCACTTTGAAAATTCATCAAGCTTTATCCTTACCTGGGCACAGACAAATAAGAAAAGTAAGTTTCTGTATAGCTTGGCTGTGACTATCATTTACACGGTCATAAGAATCACAGTACCGAATTTTTATGTAACAAAATACATTAATTGGAAAGATGAGGAAATAGAAAATATGCAAGAGCAGTGATAGAAAGGATGAGTTTGGAAAAGAACTACTCATCTTCCCTTAGTGGGAAGGAATAGATAGATGCCTCGCCTGGAAACACAAGAAGCAGCAGGGCTGGGTGGCTCACACCTGTAGTCCCAGCAATTTGGGGGGCCAAGGCGGGAGAATCGCTTGAGGTCAAAAGCTCAAGGTTACAGTGGGCTATGATAGTGCCACTGCACTCCAGACTGGGTGACAGAGTGAGATACTGTCTTAAAAAAGAAAAGAAAAGAAAAAACAA